TGTGTCATTGAACTCCCTCATGCAAAAAAATTGTGCACACTGGCATTCATCGATGCTTGCTGAACAGTTATAGCGAGCAAACAGTGAGGTGGTGGAACATTGTGAAGCAGTGGGCTTCACAATCATCAGACTCATGAGTGTGGCATGCAGGCTGTTGTTTATTGCTGGTGGTGACAGTATTGAAAAAATAGTGTTTTGTAGCTGAGAATTTGCTCTATCAAATATTGCTATTGTGCTCTTTGTATTGGTTTAGTTTCCGTGGAAATAATTAGGAAGCATTACTTTTGGAGCAGCACCTGTCTATGCCACCCAAGACAATTTCCCTTTACTAAGTGCAGCTTGGACAAGCCAAAAGGTTGGACATGCATGCCTTAAGGGCTGGTGTTACCTTTATCACGCCCTTGCAGATATCCTGATTAACCCAGATGCCTGCATTATTTTAGCAGCTGGACAAAGCTCACTCTGCATGAGACCATCCTGCATCAGGGAATGTCACAGATACAACTGAATGCACACCAATGCTTCCATTAAGGGTCACATAGTCAAAAGATTGGGAAATTTATGGGTGGAAATATCCACCCATAACTGCTGAATTTTAAAGCGCTTTCTGGTAAGGTCTGAGAATTACAGTTGTCTGAAGGATGTAAGGCTATTTTGGAAAGAATCATTCTACACTTCTACTTCTGGCATGAGCCAGCAGTGTGACTTTGTGGCCAAGAAGGCCAATCGCATCCTGGAGTACATTCAAAAGAATGCCAGCAGGACAAGGCAGCTGATCCTCTGTCACTACTCTGTCCTTGTGTGGCTACAGCTGGAATACTGTGTCCAATTCTGGGCTCCCCAGATCACAAAAGTCAGGGATCTCCTAGAATGAGTCCACGAAGATTATGAGAGGCCTGGAGCATCTCCTGTATGAGGAAAGGCTGAGAGAGCTGGGACTGTTCAGCTTGGAGAAGAGAAGACTGAGAGAGGATCTGATTAATGCTTATTAAGATCTAAAGTGCGGGAGGCAATTGGATGAGGCCAGACTGCTTTTAGCGCTGTAGAGTGACAGGATGAGGAGCAACGGCCAAAAACTGCACAAAACATGGAGTCGGCTCCTTTCTGATTTCAAAAAGAGACACACACAAGTTCTACAGGAAGAGACACACATTTTGGATATGGGTCAGTCGCTTCTTCGCAGCATGGACCATACATCCTTGAGGTAGCTCAGCTAAGAGGATGGGACCAAGCAGGGAGAGCCAGAAAGAGGAAGAGATATCTTAAGATGATTCCACTTTCAAAGCCTACGTATCATCAATCCACATCCTAAAGGAATGACTAGGGGGAAGCAGGAATGCCCCAAAACAACACTGTTCCTGAAGACTTCACACTACAAATGGCACACCACTGTTTTCCCATTTATCCCTCCCATGCCTAGTCAAACACCCTGTAAACCATGCCAGCAGGCATTGGCAGGTGCTGGGGCTTCTTTTTTCTGGGAGCAGTGGTAGGAAGTGGTGCGCAAGTGATGAGTTGATTTTCATGGTGCTCAGGCCCCAAGGGGGTGTTAATCTGCACCTGGGAAATGTCAGATCCAGCCAGCAGAGCCCTAATGGATTGCTGGCTTTTCAGCAGCGGAGGAATGGAAAATGTGTATCTTGCATAGGCTTGGTTGAGTCAGAAAAGAAACAGCTATTCCCCCGTGCCATCAGGGACAAGCAGGATGCAGTGACTGCAAAATGGATGGAGGGCAATATTCAGGCACTTGCATTGTCTCTCCGGGGAGCAAGAGTCTGGCAACAACCAGCAGCAGGATGTCTGAAAAGCCTTCTCCTTGCTGGAGTGTCGATGTCCTTGTAGCTGGGAAGACATACGTTATTATGAGCCTCCCCTACTGCCTCATGAACAGCCTCTTATACCTCAGTCTTCCTGTGAATCTTTCTGCACAACTGAGAAATCAGTCTCAGTCCACATATAGACACATATACATACATACTCAGATATGTGTATATGCAGAGTAGTAAATTCCTTACAGAAAAAAAAAAGGTTGAGAGGAAATAATTTATAAACTCACTTTTAATTTAATGAATAATTTATTTTAGAAAAGAGACAGAAGGGAAATTTCAGAACCAATAAAATACTGCGTTCAGACAATGTCAATATGAACGTTTTCATTGTTCCAATCTCTTGATTCAGAGTGGTATTTTCACTCCAGAAAATAAGCTTCTAAAAGGACAAGGATTAAAACTGAAAACATTCAAATGAAGAATATTATTTGTTCCATTTTTAATTAAACATTTTATTTAAAAACCCTACATGCAAAAATTAGTCCTTAGTTTCAGGTCAGTGTGTCACAAATACAGCTTTTCCATGTTTTCTTTGTTTGCTCCTCTTTTAAAATGCTCTTGTTTGATCAAATCCATTTCTAGTGATAGGGCTTAGGAGGACACTGGCAATGTGAGAACCAGAGAAAGAAGTGTCACTCAGAGCTTTTCTAAATAACAGTTTTAGGGTATTGTTACTAACGCAGCTTTTCTGTGTCACTATGAACTGTGTTCATGCAACAAATCTAATAACATTATAAAATAATTGTAATTTCATAATATTGTTTACATTTAAATAAAATATCCAGAAGTTCTTACCCCTTTCTGCATAAGGCTGGTAAGAAGTTTTCATCATAGCTTTGGGGTTAGTATGCACCCAGTTAAGACTGAATGGATAGATATATAGATACATGGATAGATAGATGGGCCGTAGTGTATTTACTCCAAATTTATACATCCCATATAATCTTGTTTTTATAACTGGAGAGGTGAGAAGAGAAAACCTCTAGAGATGCTCTCCAGATTTAGACCAGACTGGAACAGTAGCACTTCTTGGTAAGGATATGAGACCAATTCTAAAGCTTGCAAGTAAGGCATTTTAGATATTGACTCAAATTAAGTTTTGAGTGCTGTGCTGTGATGCAGACGTGCATTCCTCATTAGCAAGACAGGGTCAGGAACATAACAGCTCTCCATCACACCACACTGATAGTAGGGTTTCTTTTGCAGTTATGCTGAGATGAACCATGGAGTACTTTGCTAATACCGCAACTGTACAGACACACTGTGATATTGTAGACACACTTTGGCTATCCCATCGAAACTTGAGGCCATCATTTCACATATGTACCTGGATCCTTGAAAACCTGTTATGTTGCCTTCTACATTTGGGGCAGTCAGAGCTCAAACTGTGTGTACTGAATGCCTACTGAGAACACAGTTAGGCCTGTGTACCATGTGGACCTTGATCAGGAAGAATTTGGACCGAATTTAGATTCATTTTGGTTTATGTTATACTGCATTCCATTGTCAAATTCGATCTCAGAAAGAAGCCTTTTATTTTTCTTGTCTCCTCTTGATCTGCTTAGCCAATTCACTGGGCCCTTGGAAGTGATCTTTCCATGCATTTGTCCAAGAGAATAGTTCCGTTCTCCTGAAGAGAGGACACTTCGTTATAGCATCATCACAACATCCTGTCTTTGAACCTTTGAGCATCTCAGCTTTTACCCATGGGTTTAAAAAAACACTGAGATGTTCCTCCTGGGAGAAGTTTTTTCAGGCCTTAATGACATCAAACAGTTCCCCTTCTATCTGCAGTGAAGACAGAATTCCTTTCCAATATCTTTATTGATGTTAACTATCCATTCTTAGCAAAGATGTTGTTTAGGGGTGCTTGAAGGCTTAAAAGCTTATAGTGCTATTTGAATAGGGGAAGTTGAAAGGAGAACTTACTTTTGTTAATGAATATACATTTTAGCAATCACGATCATTTTTTTGGTTACGTAACATTTTTTATCTCAATACCATAGCTTAAAGGGCTTACCACATAGACAGCAATGCCAGCTCAGCAAGGCGTAAAGATCTAGAAATTCCATGCTTAAAAAATGTCCATTACAAATACTTTCTGATGCAATAGCGTTTCAAGTGCTTGGCGAGGAAAGCAGCGTCAAGAGTTGACATTATTGAAAGTTGAAAGGGATAAGACATCACACGCAGCATTAATATTTTCCCTACTGTCCCCAGAACAAAAGTGTTCTGTAGCGGTTATGCATCTGAGACAAACTTTGAAGATAAAATATTTCTGGCTTAGCTAAGCTCTGTCCAGAAATTTAGCCTCAACAAGATCACAAGAGTATCAGCCACGACCACCAGAATTCCTGCTACTAAGCTCTTGGCAACAGTACTGCTGCAGAGTTGGTTATTGAAGAATCATGGAAAGACTTGTGATGGAAGAGACCTTTATGTTCAACTAGTTCCAACTACCCGCCATGCACAGGTTGAAACTACCAGCCAGTGAGACTCATCTCTCTCCCTGGAAGGGTGGTGGAGCAACATCTTGATTTCGTCTCTAAGAAATTGGAAAAGTAGAAGGTATCGGTACCCAGTATGGATTCATAGAGGAAATCACACCTGATTCACCTGGAAGCTTTCCACATTGTCATCATCAGTTGGGCAGATGGGAGGAGAGCAGTGGATACTGTGTGCCCTGACTTCAGCGAGCCTTTTGGCTCTGTCTGCCACAACAGGTGACTCGTGGTAGCCATAAAGGAAAGGTATCCCTTCAAGAAAAATCTAGTATGATATCCAGGCAAGTGGACCACTATGGAGAAAGGTGTTAAGTACCTGAAGGAATTAGCTCTGCTGGAGGTGATGAACAATATGGGAAAAAAAGAGGGGAGATATAGATTGGATGTTGGGAGCAAATTATGTAATTGGAGGGTGGTGACACTCTGGAACAGGTTGCCCAGAGGAGCTGTGGAGCTGCTGCCACCTTGCTTGGCAGCTGAGGGCCTGCGCCCACACCTCCTGTGGGGCGGTGACCGTAATGTCACAGTAGGTGTCACAGAGCAGCCATTGTGACCCACAAGGCTGGGAGCAGAGCAAAGGCTGCCGGGCTCAGACTGAGCATCAGTGCAGTTTGGTGAGGCACAGAGAGAGCAGGCTCTCCTGCAGTCTTCACTGTTGAAGCACATAATGTCTGATAGGAAGAGGAAAGCCTCCGGCTCGGAGGAGCCAGGTGAGTGCAAAGCATCCCTGCAGCTCCCACAGAAGGGCGGAGAAGTGCTGTGGGTCTGACTGTGGCTGAGATAGAAGAAGCAGGCGGGGACTCCCCAACTGCTGCAAGGCACGACCCCTCTGCTCCTTGGCAAGGGGATCCAGCTTGGGCTATGGCTTCCTGCTAGCACTGTTGGACCTGCCATGGCCTCTTCCTCTCCACCACCTCCAGACAGCATGTCAGGCACAGAGCACGACCCCGGGGATGACCCCCAGGGATATCTGTCCCCGCCAGCTGCTCACCACTGCTCACATTTGCTCTCTCCTCTCCAGTGTGCGTGCTGTGTGGCTGGTCGGATGTTGACCCGGACATCTTAGGGTATCTTTGTCGGAAGAACGGGATTTGTATCCATTCATTTTGCCTGGTGAGTTCCCCTGGGACTCCTTTTGGATTCCCACAAGTAATGGTCTCTTCCATTCTGTCCTAATGAGAACTTTACAGATTTGTAATTTTGAAGAATCATAGTATCATGGACTGGCTTCTTGTTGTGGAAGTTCAATCTTGGTCTAAGAAAAATCTCCCCTCTTTAAGTTCAGAAAATATTATTTTCTTCTTTTCTCTTTTAAAAGCTTTTTGCCACCGGCCTTTATCAAGAAGACAACTTTCTGTTGGGAATTTTGGGGTTTTCCCTTGCTGCCATCACACGCAAGGTCAAGCAGGCAACCCAGAAGGTGAGGACCTGAACAAAGCAGGCAGATTTGTGCCAGGGGAGGCTCATACAAGTTTAGTCTGGAGCCAAAGAAAGCAAATGCAGCCACTGCAACTGGCTCCAGGACAAAGTCCTGTCACAGCAGACAAACCTTGTCTACCAGGCAGCTCTGGAGAACGTAACACAGAAATACCCACAGTCTGTGCTTAGTTGAGTTGCATGGGGCCGGCTGTGCAGGCACTGAGCCTGCTGCTGATGGGACTATTCTGCTTTTTCCAGCAATGCTTTGTTTGTGGTGAGAGGGGGGCTGCCATCACGTGTGCAGAGAGTGGCTGTGAACGAAGCTTCCATCTGCCCTGTGCCGTGGAAGGGGAATGTGTCACCCAATTCTTTGGGATGTACAGGTAAGGGCTGTCAGCAGCAGCCAAGCCAGGGAGGAAACTGCACTTATGCCTCCAGAAGTAAAGCCAGGGCATGGGACTCCTTGGTCCGCTGCCCTTCTCAGAGCACTTCTCACGATGCCATCCCTTCCATTTTCCCACCAGTTCCTACTGCTGGAAGCACCGGCCTCAACAGGCAGTTCAGGAAGATCCAGAACATGACATCAACTGCGTCATCTGCCTTGAGCCTGTGGGAGACAGCACAGCCTACCACAGACTGGTGTGCCCAGCATGTAAACATGCCTGGTTCCACCGGGACTGCATCCAGGTAGGAGCCCTCCCCTATCCTGCAGGTACACATGTTGATCAGCAGCAGCAGGCACCACAAATGTTCACCCTGCTTGTGATTCTCCTGCAGCTACAGGCCTTCACTGTTGGTGCTTTGGGCTTTCAGTGCCCCGTCTGTCGAGACAAAGATCTATTCCATTTGGAAATGTCCACCATGGGGATCCAAATCCCTGCCAGGTTGGTGTTCTCTGACCCGTTAGGCTGACACTAAGGCTGCAATGCTGGGCCGGCTCAGGGAATGTCTCAGCAGGCCTGGCCCTTGGCTGTCATATATGAACATGTGCCCCAGCTTCATGGAAAAGCTGGAAAAAGGACTGGGGTGGAACAGAAGAGATACAGTTGAAATTACAGTAGGGGGACAAAGGGCACATCACTTCCTCTCCCTTCTCCAACAGAGGACAAAATAGGACGGAATATGACCCACCACTTCTAGAGAGGCACAGCCACTGTGATGGCAGCGAATGCTTGTACCATGGAGGCAGAGAACAGGCCGAGAGCAGTGGGTGAGTTACCGCAGCAGCTCACTGCGGCTCTGTGGTGGATCTCAGCCTCTCCGCAGGCTGGCGGAGCAAGGACTGAGCACCAGAGATGTGCTGTGCCGGGCACTCCCTGGCTTGGCTCACTTGGTCCTCACGGCCACAACCACTTTGCTTCCCCAGGCCCTGGCAGCTGCTCCTGTGCAGCTCCTGCGCTGCTGAGGGCACCCACCGACAGTGCTCCCACTTGAATGACACCACAGCCACGTGGGAGTGCGACAGCTGTGCTGGCCTGCGTACTGGTAAGAGGCAATCAGTGCTCAGGGCAGCTTTGCCAGAGTCTGTCCGCCCCAAGTGGGATGGCAGATCCCACTGTGGTGCTGCAGCTTCAGACTCATGACCTCCCTGCCTCCCTTTACAGCCTCCAGTGCCAACACCGAGCTTGCTGGGCCCTGCACTGCCAGCGAGAGGGCTCCGGGACCATCCAGCAGCTCCATGGAGCCTGAGACCTTGGGCTCCATGCCCACCAGCCAGGCAGCATTGGGGACGACATCACAGAGTTCCCAGCTGCCTGAGCACAGCGACCTGCCCAGTGTGCCTGAGACTGAGCAGGAGACTAACGGGCCACGGTCATCGGAGGATCAGGCTACCTCTGAGCAGCTGCAAGGACGCCGTGGGAGCAGACATTCAGCAGCCCCGAGTGCTGAGAGCGACTCCCACACATCCACCAGGCGGAGGGCATCAGGGTCCTCCAGAGCGTCTCCGGCAGCTGCTCGCAGAAGACGTCCCAGGCAGCGGGGAAGAAGCCGCACACGAAGCCGCTCCCCGCTGCGAGGTCGGGCCCCGAGTTCCCGGAGCCGGCCAAGAAGACGCCGTGGCAGCCGGCAAACGCCAGCCTCAGGGCAGCGGAGCGGCACCCGGTCAAGGTCTGCCACTTCGAGATCCCCGAGGGCTTCCAGAGTGCCCGGACGCAGGGGACCGTCCAGGCAGCGACGGCGCACCCCCACCCGCAGCCCTCCTCCGCAGAGACGTCGGGCTCAAAATTCCCGCGGCTCACGCCAAGGAGGCAGCAGGAGGCGGGCTCAACGGCGGAGGACATCGCGGGAATGAAGCTGCTCCCAGGAACAACTTCAGAGACAAAGTCCCCACGCACAGCCCCCAAGTCTGCGTAGGAGCAGCCGAGCGCCCGTCGTAGAGTGGGTTGAAAAGACCACAAAGATCATCTAGTTTCAACCCCCCCCCTGCTGTGTGCAGGGTCGCACCCCCCTCCCATCTCCCCTGCTTGCTCTGGTCCCAAAAGTCCAACACAATAAAGATCAGAGATTCCCCCCCCACACATTTGTCAGCTTCATCCTTCCCTGCTTTTGCTGAGGTGGGCACAGGTAGGGGCCTTGACGACACGGTTGTCTCCCCCATGAATGCGCTATCCCAGACCTCACTTCACCTGGCCCAGTCCGGGCTGAGCTGGGTTCGGGCCACATCCCCAGCGTGGCACACGGCCCACATTCCTCAAGAACCCAGGCCACACTGGCAGGAGCAGCCCGGTTCTGGGCTTGTGTCTGGGCTTGGGATGCCACCGTGTACAGGGTGCATGCCAGGTCCAGGGCTGCTTCCAGCTGCGTCGGAGCTCGGGCTTTCCTCCTGCATGTCAGCTCTGAGGGGGAATGGTTCTCAGCTCAGCCAGGGAAGGTTTAGGGTGGATGGCAAGAGGAAGTGCTTCACCGAGAGAGTGCTGACGTGCTGGAATAGGCTGCCCAGAGAGCTTGTGGATGCTCCATCCCTGGAGATCTCTGCAGCTGATGACACCTCAGCAGGCCCTGCAACCGCTCCAACCCTCCAGCGGAGTCGGCAGGTGCTCCAACTGTCGTGACGGAGCCTGCACTTGCTTCAACCCTGGTGACAGGCCCTGCCGTTGTGACTGGCCCTGTGGTTGTCCAGCCCTTACGCTGGGTAACGGGGTTGCACGAAGCCCTGCGACGGGCCCTGCAGCAGCACAGGTGCCTGTGAGAGGACTTGTGGTTCAGCCACAGAACCATCTGTGCCACTGTCAGACACCCGTATTCACACTTGTGTCAGTTCACAAGACGAGAAAGCGGCTGAGAAAGTCGGCGCATTTAGTAAGGAAATCAACTTTTGCTAAGATGGGAACGGGGGAAGACGATGAGAAGGAAGCCGAGCCATCGCAAGAGATCTGCGGGAAACAGTTCAGGGAGAGGCAGGGACCCGCAGTCCCCTCACAGTGTGGAAGCACAGTGGCTCTGTGGCGCTGTGAGCGGAGCCAGGAGTGACGTGGTCAAATGCTGAATGTACAAAGGCTGCTCTCGGGAACGTGATCAACCAGGAACGTGGCGGAAGAGAGCCAGAGCCAGCAAACAGACTGTGGCACGGCGGTTGGCGTAGGCAGGGCGAGAAGGGAAGGCAGAGCCTCACAGAATCACAGAATGGCCAGGGTTGGGAGGGACCTCAAGGATCAGGAATCTCCAACCGCCCTGCCTCACACAGGGCCACCAACCCCCACGATTAATACCAGACCAGGCTGCCCAGGGCCCCATCCAGTCTGGCCTTGAACACCTCCAGGGATGGACGGGGCATCCACAACCTCTCTGGGCAGCCTGTTCCAGCACCTCTCCGCTCCCTCTGCAAAGAAATCCCCCTGACATCCAACCTAAATCTTCCCTCCCTCAACTTCAAACCATTTCCCCTTGTCCTGCAGTTATCTACCCTTTCCAAGAGATGGTTCCCCTCCTGTTTGTAGGCTCCCTTTAGGTACAATGAGGCCACCCTGCAGCCTTCTTTTCTCCGGGCTGAACAAGCCCCGCTCCCTCAGCCTGTCTTTGTAGGGGAGGTGCTCCAGTCCCCTGATCGTCATCATGGCTCTGCTCTGGCCCTCTCCACCACCTGTCCTTCCTGTACTGGGGGCTCCAGACCTGGACACAGTACTCCAGATGGGGCCTCACAAGAGCAGAGTAGAGGGGGACAGTCACCTCCCTGTCCCTGCTGGCCAACCCCTCCTCCAATGGAAAGCCTCCCTCCCAGCTCAGCAGACCACCTCACCTATTGACTTCTTCCTTCACAACAAACCTAGCCAAGGCCTCCACCACAAAGAAAGCTCTTGCCAAAAAGAACGCAGCTACCCAAACTGAGTGCCTACCCAGAAATGCAGCTGTTCAGGTCTTTCAGGGGATGAAGGCGATAAAGACAAGGGTTTGAGAACAACCCAAGCACATTTGGCAGGGAGGTGATCAGATGGCCACAGGGCAAGAGGAAACCGGTTTGGGGGGATGCCCCCCCGAAAGGTCAAAAGTTTACAGCGAGAAAAGTCAGAAGCCCTCGCGAGGGAGACAACAAATCTTCATCCCACGACCCACTGTGCACGAGCACGAGGGGAGGGTCTGCACGCTAATGAACTCTCGGGGGTGTAATGAATATATATCCCAATTCCAGGAAAACTATTGGTTATATATTAGTTTGGCCTATATCTCTAGCACGGCTTTTCCAGACGCTGCGCAGGTCAGGTGGATCTATCCCCCTTGCACCTGGTGTCTGCGCAGCACTGAATAAACCAGACCTGCTATGTAATCTTACTTGGGTTACAGAGTTTGATTCCGCACGTCACAACCTCCGCTTTAGGCAGGGACACCCCCAGCAGACCAGGCTGCTCACAGCTCCATGCAGCCTGGCCTGGAATGCTTCCAGGGAGGGGGCATCCACAGCCTCGCTGGGCAACCTGTTCCAGTGTCTCACCACCCTCACAGTAAAGCATGACTTCCTAGTATCTAGCCCAAATCTTCCCCCTTCCAGCTTAAAGCCATTTCCCCTCGCCCCGTCACAACATGACCTTATAAAATGTCCCTCCCCAGCTTTTCCATAGCCCCCAGTTGAGAACTGATGGGCCGCTATAAGGTCTCCTTGGAGCCTTCTCTTCTCCAGGCTGAACAGCCCAAAGCTCCCTCAGCCTGTCCCCATCGGGGAGGTGCTCCAGCCCTCTGATCACCTTCATGGCCCTCCCTTGGCTCTGCTCCAACAACTCCATGTCCTTCCTGTGCTGGGGGCTCCAGAACTGCACGCAATAGTAATGTCGAACTTAGGGGCATGGTTTAGTGGGCAATATCGCTGAGAGGTGGACAGTTGGACTAGGCGATCTTAGAGGTCTTCTCCAACCCTCCTTAAAGATTCTGGGATCTATGATTCCATGATGGTAAGAACAGGAGGCAGAAGAGGCACAGCTCACAGAGGCGACAGGAACCTCCTGTTCAACTCCCGACCACGGCCGAGCTGAGAGATATGGGAAAAGACTTCAGCCGTCACGCGGGTGAGCACTGTGCTCCCTGGCTGCTCTGGTAACAGGAGAATGGGCCCCGTGGCCCAGACTTGGTGGGCAATGAAGCCAGGCATCTGGGATCCCCTTGAAGGGATGCTGACAAAGCAATTGGAAAAGGGATATCTGATTTCATGGTATGGAAGTGATTCTTTCTCTGCCATGAAGGGGGGAAAAGTATCCTTTCAAAGAAGATCTGGTACGTCACCCAGGCAAGTGGAAAGGTGTCGAGGGAAACCAGAGGGAACTAGCTGTGCTCGGAGGTGGTGCACAAAATTGAACAAAGACAAAAGATAAATATTTGACGCTGGGAGGAAATTCTTGAGTCGGAGGGCAGTGGTACACTGGAATAGGTAGCTCAGAGAAGCTGTGGAGCTGATACCCTCTTGCGTGGGAGATGAGGGCCCGCACCCACATCTCCCCCATGAGGTGATGACCACGATGCCACGGAGGGTGGCAGGGAGCAGCCACTGAGACCCACAGGGCCGGGAATCACGCCTACTTTTGGTGCCACACTTGAATGGGCTTTGACAAGTTCAGATGCAGAGCAGCGTTGCTTATTTCAGGGACTACTCTGGCTTCACGGAATTGGGATCCACGTGGCTTCAGGGAATTGAGATCCACGTCAGTTCCACAGGAACAAGCTTAGGAAAATGTTTATAAAGAAAGAAATATGGAAACGCTGTAAAAACAAACCAACTGTCTGCTGGTAGCCACAGCAATTCTTACTGGACTGTCTTTTGCCAGTCCCCTTAAACCTCTCCGTTCACCTACAATTTACAGGGCAAACAGCCTTTCAGAGCAGAAAGCAGAGCTCAGGATGCTCTACCAGCACACTCTCGACTAACACCCGTGTCTTTTGAGGTGGTCACTGACTCCCTGCCAACCTGGATCTTCATCTCACCCAACGCAGTTTTCCTGCCGAAATTTAGATGTAGACTTGAGGGGAATCGTGGCATGGGTAGGCCAGTTTCCCTCCACAGACTGCAGAACGGTTGAAGCTTTGATGCACGTAGATAAATGGCTCTTCTGAGCTGGACAGACCCAAAGACAAATGCTCGTCATTCCGCAAGGCAAGATGCCAGCCTGCTTTTCATCTCTGGCTCGACTCTTCACTGCTGAGTGAGCTGCAGGGCCTTACTTCACTTCTTTGCAGAGTCTTGGAATTTTTCACCTTCACTGGGACTTCCCTATGGCTGTCTAGTAAAAGTATTTGAACACTCAAACACTCAGGTTAAATAAAACAGTGAAACAGTAACTTAAAGGAATAAAGAGGAATGACAAAAGTTTGGGAAAATGGGAGCAGGCAGGTTTTCTCTCTGGAGAGAGAAGAAAAGGAGCCAAAATGTCACTGCAGTGAAAAAGGCACCAAAGGAAGAGAGAGCTTAAAGCTGAGCTCAGCTGCAGTCACGAACAGTCAAGCCACGCTACAAGGAATATGCTTGGGCAGCTCACTACCATGATGTTTTGGGGTTTCCTTTCTGTTCCTTCAACCAAGCTTCACACTGAATCACATACGTGTCTTTACGCACATCACTTACACTTTCCTTGCTGCCTGTCGCACAGAAGCAGACACAGCAGCTGTGCGCTTTAGACAAACATTGAAGATACGACGCTAAGGTCGTGGCTACGGTACAGCAGCAGAGTTTGTTACCAAAGTATCACAGAAAGACTCGGGTTGGAAGGGACCTTACAAGCTGCACTAATCCCGACCACCTGCTGTGCCAGATTTGACACCATAGAAGCTTGGAATAGGGCCCCATCCAGCTTCTCTGGGCAGCCTGTGCCCCTGCCTCACCAATCTCGCAGAAAAGAATTTCCCCTAAGACTGAATCTGATCTCCTCTTCTAGATTAAAACTAGATTAAGCCATGTCCTATCCCTACCAGACCTTGTAAAAAGTCACTCACCACACACACTAGACACCAAATATGCTGTTAACTTGCAATCTTTACTAGACTAGACTCTGATCAGAAGCGCTGGCGTGGCACCAGGGCTGCAAATGAGCCCAAGGGAATGTAGACTCCAGCATCTGCCACGAGGAGCAGTGCCAGCAGGTTGAGGGAGGCCGTCCTTCCTCTGCTGCACAGCAGCACCGGGTCCTTACTCTGTGCTGCCTGCAAGGGCTGCCACCCTCTTGCTTGAGGGCCTGCGCCCACACCCTCTGTGAGGCAGCGACCGTGATGTCACAGTGGGTGTCACAGAGTGGCCATTGTGATGCGCGAAGCTTGGAGCAGAGCAAAGGCTGCCGGGTCAGGCAGAGCATCAGTGCGGTCTGGTGAGGCGCAGAGAGAGCAAGGACTCTCGCAGTGCTTGCTATCTCACAGTGCTCGCTATCAACGCACAATCATGTCCGATAGGAAGAGGAAGGCCTCCGGCTCGGAGGAGCCAGGTGAGAGCACAGCATCCCTGTGCACAGCTCCTGCCAACAGGCAGAGGAGTGCTGGGGCTCTGCCTGCAGGTGGGAGGCAAGGAAAGCACAGGCACGGATGCCCCAACTGCTGCAAGGCAGGGCCCCTCTGCTCCTTGGCAAGGGGGTCTGCCTTGGCCCGTGGCTGCCTTGGCCTTGCCACAGCCCCTTCCCCTCCACCGCCTCCACCGCTCCAGAGCAGGACCCTGGGGACGGCCCTCAGGGACACCTGGCCCTGCCAGCTGCTCACCGCTGCTCACATTTGCTCTCTCCTCTGCAGTGTGCATCCTGTGTGGCCGGGCAGATGTCGACACGGACATCTGCGGGAACATGCTTTCTGAAAGTGGGATTCATGTCCATGAGTTCTGCTTGGTGAGTTCCCCCATGGGCTCCTTCCAGATTACCACCAGGGATGCTCCTTTCCCTTCTGTCCTAATGAGGTCCTGCTCTTTTCTCTCCTACAGGATTTTGCCATAATCTCTTCTGACGCAAGACCAACGCAGTCGGGAACTTTGGGCCTCCCTGTTGATGCCATCAGACGTGCAGTCAAACAGGCCACCAAGCAGGTGAGGACCTGCACGGAGCAGGCAGATTTGTGCCAGGAGGGGCTCACACCAGTTTAGTCTGGACCAAGGAAAGCAATCGCAGCCCTTCCAACCACCTCCACGACAAAGTGCTGCCACAGGAGACGAGCCCTGTCTGCTAGGCACCTTTGTAGAATGTGACCCAGCTGGCTGTGCCCAGAGGTGTGGGGCCAGCCACCGAGGCCCTGAGGTCTGTTGCTGACGGGTTTGTTCTTCTCTTTCCAGCAATGCTTTGTTTGTGGCGAGAGGGGGGCTTCCATCACATGTGTGGTGACAAGCTGTCGGCGAAGCTTCCATCTGCCCTGTGCCATGGACGGTGAATGTGTCACCCACTTTTTTGGGTACCATTGGTAAGGACCGGCAGCAGCAGCCAAGCCAGGGAGGAACCCGCACTTACGCCTCCCAGCAGCCTGCCAGAGACAGAGGCAGGGCCTGAGGCTCCTTCCTGCTCCTCTGCCCTCCTCACAGCACTTCTCACTGTGACCACATCTTCCCTCTTCCCCCAGGACCTTCTGTTCGGAGCACCGCCCTCGACAGGAAACTTACCCAGCTCCATCAGAAGGCACCCACTGCCTCATCTGCCTTGAGCCTGTGGGGGACAGCTTGTCCTATCATACCCTGGTGTGCCCAACGTGCCAACATGCCTGGTTCCACCGGGGCTGCATCCAGGTAGGAGCCCTCCCCTCACCCTGCACGCATGCTTGGTGCTGAGCAGCACCAGGCACTGCTCACACTCACCCTGCTTGTGCTTCTCCTGCAGCAACAGGCCTCGATTGCTGGCTCTTTGTGCTTCCAGTGCGCTGCATGTCGAGACAGCATTCTGTTCTTTGCAGAAATGGCCATTCTGGGGATCCGAATCCCATACAGGTTGGTGTCCTTCTCCCCAATTCGGCTGACATTAAGGCTGTTGTGCTGAGCCTGCCCAGGGACTGCCTTTGCAGGTCTGGCCCTTGGCTGTCTCATGAGTACGTGCCCCAACTTCATAGAGACTCTGGAAGTAGAGTTGGGGTGGATATGTTTGGATAACCTTGGATCTTATGTTGGGGCTCTGGGGGCTCATCACTTCCTCTCCCTTTTCTTGTAGAATACCAGCATGGGAGGACAACAACGCATATGAAGCACTTCTCCAGAGGCACAGCCACTGTGATGCCAGCGAATGCCTGTACCATGGAGGCAGAGAGCAGGCCGAGAGCAGTGGGTGAGTTACCGCAGCAGCTCACTGCGGCTCTGCGGTGGATCTCAGCCTCTCCACAGGCTGGCAGAGCAAGGACTGAGCACCAGAGATGTGCTGTGCCGGGCACTCCCTGGCTTGGCTCACTTGGTCCTCACGGCCACAACCACTTTGCTTCCCCAGGCCCTGGCAGCTGCTCCTGTGCAGCTCCTGCGCTGCTGAGGGCACCCACCGACAGTGCTCCCACTTGAATGACACCACAGCCACGTGGGAGTGCGACAGCTGTGCTGGCCTGCGTACTGGTAAGAGGCAATCAGTGCTCAGGGCAGCTTTGCCAGAGTCTGTCCGCCCCAAGTGGGATGGCAGATCCCACTGTGGTGCTGCAGCTTCAGACTCATGACCTCCCTGCCTCCCTTTACAGCCTCCAGTGCCAACACCGAGCTTGCTGGGCCCTGCACTGCCAGCGAGAGGGCTCCGGGACCATCCAGCAGCTCCATGGAGCCTGAGACCTTGGGCTCCATGCCCACCAGCCAGGCAGCATTGGGGACGACATCACAGAGTTCCCAGCTGCCTGAGCACAGCGACCTGCCCAGTGTGCCTGAGACTGAGCAGGAGACTAACGGGCCACGGTCATCGGAGGATCAGGCTACCTCTGAGCAGCTGCAAGGACGCCGTGGGAGCAGACATTCAGCAGCCCCGAGTGCTGAGAGCGACTCCCACACATCCACCAGGCGGAGGGCATCAGGGTCCTCCAGGGCGTCTCCGGCAGCTGCTCGCAGAAGACGTCCCAGGCAGCGGGGAAGAAGCCGCACACGAAGCCGCTCCCCGCTGCGAGGTCGGGCCCCGAGTTCCCGGAGCCGGCCAAGAAGACGCCGTGGCAGCCGGCAAACGCCAGCCCCAGGGCAGCGGAGAGGCACCCGGTCAAGGTCTGCCACTTCGAGATCCCCGAGGGCTTCCAGAGTGCCCGGACGCAGGGGACCGTCCAGGCAGCGACGGCGCACCCGCACCCGCAGCCCTCCTCCGCAGAGACGTCGGGCTCAAAATTCCCGCGGCTCACGCCAAGGAGGCAGCAGGAGGCGGGCTCAACGGCGGAGGACATCGCGGGAATGAAGCTGCTCCCAGGAACAACTTCAGAGACAAAGTCCCCACGCACAGCCCCCAAGTCTGCGTAGGAGCAGCCGAGCGCCCGTCGTAGAGTGGGTTGAAAAGACCACAAAGATCATCTAGTTTCAACCCCCCCCCTGCTGTGTGCAGGGTCGCACCCCCCTCCCATCTCCCCTGCTTGCTCTGGTCCCAAAAGTCCAACACAATAAAGATCAGAGATTCCCCCCACACACATTTGTCAGCTTCATCCTTCCCTGCTTTTGCTGAGGTGGGCACAGGTAGGGGCCTTGACGACACGGTTGTCTCCCCCATGAATGCGCTATCCCAGACCTCACTTCACCTGGCCCAGTCCGGGCTGAGCTGGGTTCGGGCCACATCCCCAGCGCGGCACACGGCCCACATTCCTCAAGAACCCAGGCCGCACTGGCAGGAGCAGCCCGGTTCTGGGCTTGTGTCTGGGCTTGGGATGCCACCGTGTTCAGGGTGCATGCCAGGTCCAGGGCTGCTTCCAGCTGCGTCGGAGCTCGGGCTTTCCTCCTGCATGTCAGCTCTAAGGGGAACGGTTCTCAGCTCAGCCAGGGAAGGTTTAGGGTGGATGGCAGGAGGAAGTGCTTCACCGAGAGAGTGCTGACGTGCTGGAATAGGCTGCCCAGAGAGCTTGTGGATGCTCCATCCCTGGAGATCTCTGCAGCTGATGACACCTCAGCAGGCCCTGCAACCGCTCCAACCCTCCAGCGGAGTCGGCAGGTGCTCCAACTGTCGTGACGGAGCCTGCACTTGCTTCAACCCTGGTGACAGGCCCTGCCGTTGTGACTGGCCCTGTGGTTGTCCAGCCCTTACGCTGGGTAACGGGGTTGCACGAAGCCCTGCGACGGGCCCTGCAGCAGCACAGGTGCCTGTGAGAGGACTTGTGGTTCAGCCACAGAACCATCTGTGCCACTGTCAGACACCCGTATTCACACTTGTGTCAGTTCACAAGACGAGAAAGCGGCTGAGAAAGTCGGCGCATTTAGTAAGGAAATCAACTTTTGCTAAGATGGGAACGGGGGAAGACGATGAGAAGGAAGCCGAGCCATCGCAAGAGATCTGCGGGAAACAGTTCAGGGAGAGGCAGGGACCCGCAGTCCCCTCACAGTGTGGAAGCACAGTGGCTCTGTGGCGCTGTGAGCGGAGCCAGGAGTGACGTGGTCAAATGCTGAATGTACAAAGGCTGCTCTCGGGAACGTGATCAACCAGGAACGTGGCGGAAGAGAGCCAGAGCCAGCAAACAGACTGTGGCACGGCGGTTGGCGTAGGCAGGGCGAGAAGGGAAGGCAGAGCCTCACAGAATCACAGAATGGCCAGGGTTGGGAGGGACCTCAAGGATCAGGAATCTCCAACCGCCCTGCCTCACACAGGGCCACCAACCCCCACGATTAATACCAGACCAGGCTGCCCAGGGCCCCATCCAGTCTGGCCTTGAACACCTCCAGGGATGGACGGGGCATCCACAACCTCTCTGGGCAGCCTGTTCCAGCACCTCTCCGCTCCCTCTGCAAAGAAATCCCCCTGACATCCAACCTAAATCTTCCCTCCCTCAACTTCAAACCATTTCCCCTTGTCCTGCAGTTATCTACCCTTTCCAAGAGATGGTTCCCCTCCTGTTTGTAGGCTCCCTTTAGGTACAATGAGGCCACCCTGCAGCCTTCTTTTCTCCGGGCTGAACAAGCCCCGCTCCCTCAGCCTGTCTTTGTAGGGGAGGTGCTCCAGTCCCCTGATCGTCATCATGGCTCTGCTCTGGCCCTCTCCACCACCTGTCCTTCCTGTACTGGGGGCTCCAGACCTGGACACAGTACTCCAGATGGGGCCTCACAAGAGCAGAGTAGAGGGGGACAGTCACCTCCCTGTCCCTGCTGGCCAACCCCTCCTCCAATGGAAAGCCTCCCTCCCAGCTCAGCAGACCACCTCACCTATTGACTTCTTCCTTCACAACAAACCTAGCCAAGGCCTCCACCACAAAGAAAGCTCTTGCCAAAAAGAACGCAGCTACCCAAACTGAGTGCCTACCCAGAAATGCAGCTGTTCAGGTCTTTCAGGGGATGAAGGCGATAAAGACAAGGGTTTGAGAACAACCCAAGCACATTTGGCAGGGAGGTGATCAGATGGCCACAGGGCAAGAGGAAACCGGTTTGGGGGGATGCCCCCCCGAAAGGTCAAAAGTTTACAGCGAGAAAAGTCAGAAGCCCTCGCGAGGGAGACAACAAATCTTCATCCCACGACCCACTGTGCACGAGCACGAGGGGAGGGTCTGCACGCTAATGAACTCTCGGGGGTGTAATGAATATATATCCCAATTCCAGGAAAACTATTGGTTATATATTAGTTTGGCCTATATCTCTAGCACGGCTTTTCCAGACGCTGCGCAGGTCAGGTGGATCTATCCCCCTTGCACCTGGTGTCTGCGCAGCACTGAATAAACCAGACCTGCTATGTAATCTTACTTGGGTTACAGAGTTTGATTCCGCACGTCACAACCTCCGCTTTAGGCAGGGACACCCCCAGCAGACCAGGCTGCTCACAGCTCCATGCAGCCTGGCCTGGAATGCTTCCAGGGAGGGGGCATCCACAGCCTCGCTGGGCAACCTGTTCCAGTGTCTCACCACCCTCACAGTAAAGCATGACTTCCTAGTATCTAGCCCAAATCTTCCCCCTTCCAGCTTAAAGCCATTTCCCCTCGCCCCGTCACAACATGACCTTATAAAATGTCCCTCCCCAGCTTTTCCATAGCCCCCAGTTGAGAACTGATGGGCCGCTATAAGGTCTCCTTGGAGCCTTCTCTTCTCCAGGCTGAACAGCCCAAAGCTCCCTCAGCCTGTCCCCATCGGGGAGGTGCTCCAGCCCTCTGATCACCTTCATGGCCCTCCCTTGGCTCTGCTCCAACAACTCCATGTCCTTCCTGTGCTGGGGGCTCCAGAACTGCACGCAATAGTAATGTCGAACTTAGGGGCATGGTTTAGTGGGCAATATCGCTGAGAGGTGGACAGTTGGACTAGGCGATCTTAGAGGTCTTCTCCAACCCTCCTTAAAGATTCTGGGATCTATGATTCCATGATGGTAAGAACAGGAGGCAGAAGAGGCACAGCTCACAGAGGCGACAGGAACCTCCTGTTCAACTCCCGACCACGGCCGAGCTGAGAGATATGGGAAAAGACTTCAGCCGTCACGCGGGTGAGCACTGTGCTCCCTGGCTGCTCTGGTAACAGGAGAATGGGCCCCGTGGCCCAGACTTGGTGGGCAATGAAGCCAGGCATCTGGGATCCCCTTGAAGGGATGCTGACAAAGCAATTGGAAAAGGGATATCTGATTTCATGGTATGGAAGTGATTCTTTCTCTGCCATGAAGGGGGGAAAAGTATCCTTTCAAAGAAGATCTGGTACGTCACCCAGGCAAGTGGAAAGGTGTCGAGGGAAACCAGAGGGAACTAGCTGTGCTCGGAGGTGGTGCACAAAATTGAACAAAGACAAAAGATAAATATTTGACGCTGGGAGGAAATTCTTGAGTCGGAGGGCAGTGGTACACTGGAATAGGTAGCTCAGAGAAGCTGTGGAGCTGATACCCTCTTGCGTGGGAGATGAGGGCCCGCACCCACATCTCCCCCATGAGGTGATGACCACGATGCCACGGAGGGTGGCAGGGAGCAGCCACTGAGACCCACAGGGCCGGGAATCACGCCTACTTTTGGTGCCACACTTGAATGGGCTTTGACAAGTTCAGATGCAGAGCAGCGTTGCTTATTTCAGGGACTACTCTGGCTTCACGGAATTGGGATCCACGTGGCTTCAGGGAATTGAGATCCACGTCAGTTCCACAGGAACAAGCTTAGGAAAATGTTTATAAAGAAAGAAATATGGAAACGCTGTAAAAACAAACCAACTGTCTGCTGGTAGCCACAGCAATTCTTACTGGACTGTCTTTTGCCAGTCCCCTTAAACCTCTCCGTTCACCTACAATTTACAGGGCAAACAGCCTTTCAGAGCAGAAAGCAGAGCTCAGGATGCTCTACCAGCACACTCTCGACTAACACCCGTGTCTTTTGAGGTGGTCACTGACTCCCTGCCAACCTGGATCTTCATCTCACCCAACGCAGTTTTCCTGCCGAAATTTAGATGTAGACTTGAGGGGAATCGTGGCATGGGTAGGCCAGTTTCCCTCCACAGACTGCAGAACGGTTGAAGCTTTGATGCACGTAGATAAATGGCTCTTCTGAGCTGGACAGACCCAAAGACAAATGCTCGTCATTCCGCAAGGCAAGATGCCAGCCTGCTTTTCATCTCTGGCTCGACTCTTCACTGCTGAGTGAGCTGCAGGGCCTTACTTCACTTCTTTGCAGAGTCTTGGAATTTTTCACCTTCACTGGGACTTCCCTATGGCTGTCTAGTAAAAGTATTTGAACACTCAAACACTCAGGTTAAATAAAACAGTGAAACAGTAACTTAAAGGAATAAAGAGGAATGACAAAAGTTTGGGAAAATGGGAGCAGGCAGGTTTTCTCTCTGGAGAGAGAAGAAAAGGAGCCAAAATGTCACTGCAGTGAAAAAGGCACCAAAGGAAGAGAGAGCTTAAAGCTGAGCTCAGCTGCAGTCACGAACAGTCAAGCCACGCTACAAGGAATATGCTTGGGCAGCTCACTACCATGATGTTTTGGGGTTTCCTTTCTGTTCCTTCAACCAAGCTTCACACTGAATCACATACGTGTCTTTACGCACATCACTTACACTTTCCTTGCTGCCTGTCGCACAGAAGCAGACACAGCAGCTGTGCGCTTTAGACAAACATTGAAGATACGACGCTAAGGTCGTGGCTACGGTACAGCAGCAGAGTTTGTTACCAAAGTATCACAGAAAGACTCGGGTTGGAAGGGACCTTACAAGCTGCACTAATCCCGACCACCTGCTGTGCCAGATTTGACACCGTAGAAGCTTGGAATAGGGCCCCATCCAGCTTCTCTGGGCAGCCTGTGCCCCTGC